GAAAACATCCGATCTTTTTGTGTGAACACATGGAGCTACAGATTTAAACAGCGAGACTTGAGGTTGGTGTCTTATCGATCCTTCACCCCCTCCTCCTGATAAAAAAGTCAGATGAATGTGACATGAGCGTTCACACTGCAGTCACTTTGAAAACATCAGATATATATCCGATTTAAAACCACATACTGAAACGGCCTGGGTCGGATTTGAAAAAATCGGATTTGTCTCGTTCAGACTGTCATAAAAAAATCGGATTTGGGTTGGATTTGCCTGCAGTGTGAACGTAGCCTATGAGTAGTTAAACGACACTTTGCTAGTCACCACTGTTACAGTTTTTCAGCTACTCACACAAGCACAGAATATGTATTGACCGCAGACACTCGTAGTGTGCAGTGATTGCACACCAATGCTGGACCTTTCCAAAAACCTCCACTCTGAGATCTGGATTCAGAAGCTTTGGTGTCAGAGAAGAAACAAGCGCTGCTGTCATTGCACATCTGACAGGCCGACACACTTCCTGTTTTTAAAACTTCTCAAATAAACGTTTTTTTTCCTCTAGCTTTTAGCTCAGCTGCAGATGTTTCCTTTTGTTGTGTTTAGGATTTTAATGGTTCATGAATTTTACTATTTTAACAGATTTTGTTTTTCTTTTATGGGTTTTAGATTTGTGTGTTTCACTTTTCTTCTTTTATCAGTGTACAGCACTTTGAACAATGGCATTTCATTTTTTTAACTTAATGGAATTTATTTGGCAGGGACCATGCACATTCTTTGACATTTCTGTAAATGTGCCAGAATTAAGCAAAGATTATTTTTCATCTGTTGTCCCTGGACGTGCTAAAAACAAACAACGTTATAAAAAATAATGTTAATGACTCAACTACATTCATTTAGTCAATAATACAAGTCAGTGAAAATACAATCAGTACAAATGGTAAATACCAAACAAAAAAATTTATAGGGCTGCCACGATTAGACGACTAGTCACGATTATTGTCAACTATTAAAATTGTTGACTAATTTGATAGTTGATGTGTTGTTTTTTTTTCTAACTTTGTTTTTCTCTCCAAACTGCTGCGGCACCTTCCACCGCTGCGTCGGCCTTTCTGTCCTTGACACACATGCGCTGTAGTGGTAATTAGGGTTGCCACAAACTATTATTTTTATAGTCGATTAATTAGTGATTAGTCAACTATAAAAAAAGTTAGAAAAAAAAAACAATGCATCGACTATTAAATTTGTCGCTGATCATTTTAATAGAGAATCGTAACTAGTCGACTAATCGTGGCAGCCCTAATTACAACACAAATTTTATAAAAAGTATAAGAAAGTACTTTATAATGCTGTATTGTACACGAATGGCTGAACCATAGCAGAAATGCTAGTTTCATTTAAAAATGGTATTGTGTAAAAACCATTAACTAAAGCTGCACGTAATTATGAAAATTTTATTTGACTCCAATAAACCAGTAACTGTAGTTTTAGCAGTTTATTTTACTACAAGAGTAACAGACATTTGTCGTCTTTTAACATTTTGATTAATAAACTGTGGAGTGTGACTATCTAAAATAGGTAGAGTACACACTTTAAGCTTAAAAAAGGTTGTTAGAACCTTTAAAATACTAAATGGCCTAAAGTATTGGATCACACCTGTGAATTATTGAATATAGATGTTTCCTTCAGAGTTTGTGTTAGGTCCATTACCTCTGGTGATGAGCCATCTTAGAGATGGTATCTCACTAAGCTGCAACTGTTGAGGACTCTAACTTGATTCAATATGGCCAGAAAACATATTAGCATTTACGCCAATTACGTATGCTAGTATGTACTGTACTCCCTTTGGCAGTGGAAGGAGACATAGAGTCTTAAAATGAAGAGCCCAGAAAACAACAGAAGTTGTCAAAAGTGTGGTAACATTTTAAATTGAACCAAGAAGACAACAAAGTGCAGTGTATGCTCTGCACGTCCTCGACGCTGCAGCACTGGAACTAAAAACAGCTGATGCATCATTTACCGAACGCATCCGAACTCCAGAGTGAACAACAGGTATTGTTTGTTTGTTTACCTAAATCTGTGTTGTCATTACTTAACTGATATTTCACAAGAGATCGAGTTCTTTTGAGGTCCTAAAAAAGGCTGTGATTAATACAAAGAGGGTGTGATTTGAAGATTTTATGGTTAATTGTAATAATAGAGCCCATCTTAGCTGCCTTTAGGTGAAAGCAGGGACAGGTCTCTGGTCCATCAGGGACACAGACAAAGACACAAACAACTATGCAGACTCCCAGTCCTACAGAAGAGCTCTCCAAGAGATTCGAACTGAGAACTCTGGACTCAGATCCCTCTGCTGCACACACAAAGTTCAAATTAGTTATTATTATTATTATTATTATTAATAATAATAATTTCTCATATCTGCCATAATAAATGACAATGCCAAGACTCCTCACAATAATTAGGATACAATCAAACAGCCAAATAATAACATATACTTACATTTATTATTATTAATATTATAATTAAAAGTGAGTCATGCAAATTTATGCAACAAGCAGGTAGCCCTTTGTGTTTCTATGTAACCCTGAAGCAGCTGTGAGCTCAAAAAGCTTGCTGACATCTGCTATAGTTGATATTTAAAGACTGACAACAGTGTCTTACAATAACACATATTAGGCCATATTTTTAAACTTCCTGTCAACTTTTAACATTAACAGTGTGGGCTGCCCAAGCAGTCCCATCACCAGGCTTAGCCAGTTTTCTGGAAGAAACTCAGAGATGAGACGAGGGTTGGGCAATATTGGCAAAAAAATTAATCACGATTAATTGTGGTATTTAGCCGATAACGATTAATTTGACGATTAATGCCCTGGAGTCCCTGGACACCCTTATGTCCTAGTCACATGACTAATTTAGTGGGAAAGATTCGCTCTTTGTAAAAAATTGTTCCAAATTGTGTGAAAATTACAGACTTCAGGCTATAATATTTTAAATTGTGTTGATAGATAAATAAATTACAGAACTTTGTTTTTAATGTTCGTCATATTTGAAGCGTAGATGAGCACCGAGCGGACTGACAGGAGTAATCCCCAGTCAGTCTGCCTGGTGGCATTAATCGTATTAATCTTCAAGTGCCAAAAACTAATATTGTTTTTCTGACAATTAATTGCACACGATACGATTATGCCCAACTCTAGATGAGACTCATATTAGCTTTACAACAGACATTTGGAGCCGTTTGTCTTGTGTAACTGTTTAGCCTCACGGCACACTGCTTAAATTCTTCATGTGATCAACAACGTGCTGTGCTACTTGCACACATTTTTGTCCTTATGTTATATTTTCGTTACATTCTGTTCCATGTGGAAGTGAAAATTACATAACCTCTTTTTTCTTGCTAATAAAAACAATTTGAGGAACAACATAGACAGGTTCTGTCATGTAGATCTACGGTCCTAAACACACGGAACTAAATTTAATTATTGAACTTATGGTTAGTAATCTGCAAGTCTGTGCTGCAAAAAACCCTATAAGAATTAAATAAAGACTTAATACAGGTACCTGATTTTAAATGACTGATTAATATCTGGAACAGGAGATTTTGATCAGGACATCCCTAGTCATTTCATTACCAGTGCTACTTGTTTACCTAACTTTGTATCAGCTTAATGCTCTTAATTAGATGGTCCTCTAATGCTCGTTACTGCTTTAACATGTGGTACAGCAAGCCTTCCAAGATACTACAACAGCCTATGTATGTCAAGACTGGGGAAAGAGATAATTTTTTCCAGAAAAAAAAGGAGTTAAGCCTTTCCCACAAAGAATTTCCAGGCTGGTTTAATTTTTATTTAATATGAGCACATTTCTTCACTCTGCTGTTGTCTTTAGTCTCTCTTCTCTACATGTTTATTGTAATTATTTCTATCAATAACATGTTTTTTCTTTGTCTCTTTTCCAGAAGAAGGTGCACCTGGACCAGTCCTGGACCAGTTCTTCTGTGTTTACCTGTGTCTCTTTCCTGTCCCTCAACCAGCCGGTCGAGGCAGATGGCCGCCTGTCCTGAGCCTGGTTCTGCTGGAGGTTTCTTCCTGATTAGCAGGGAGTTTTTCCTCTCCACCGTTTGCTCAGGATGGGAGACTGTGATGAAGTAATTTAACACAATCTGCTGGTTTCTTCTTTAGATTATTCTTTTTTATGTACAGTGCCCTGAGACAACGAATGTTGCGACTTGGCGCTATATAAATAAACTGAATTGAACTGAATTATAATTGCCTCTTTAGCTTAGCTATTTTGTTTAGCCCAGCGTGCATCTCTGTTTACACATCGTCAGGACTGGGTCAATGT